ACAGCATTAACTACAGCACCATTAATGAAAAATCCGAACTTCAATCAAACATTTATATTGCAAACTGATGCATCAGGAGTAGGAGTTGGTGCAATTCTTAGTCAAGGAGAGGAGAATTTAGATGAGGGACCAGTTGCTTATTTTAGTAAAAAGCTACTCCCGAGAGAACAAGCATACTCGACAGTCGAAAAAGAGTGCTTAGCTATTATTCTAGCCATCAAGCATTTCAGTGCATATCTCATAGGGAGATCTTTTATTATTCAAACGGATCATAGAGCTCTTCAATGGCTACACAAGTTTAAAGAGAAGAATGCAAGATTGACTAGATGGAGTTTGATTCTGCAACCATATAATTTCACTATACAACATCGGAAAGGGGTAGCAAATGCAAATGCAGATGCACTTTCTAGATTGGAGAGGAAGAGCACTTCGTGCCAGAGGGGAAGGGAGGAAATGTAAGAAGTTGTTTCTAAATGGATCCGGAACTCTCTGTGTACTATTGTAATTATATATTATTTGTTTATTCAAGTATATTCTAGAACAATCATGTAAAGTATTCTTGTATGTTATAGAACCTTCTGGACATTTATAAGATCTATATAAGTGTGTTGTTTGTGAGTTGTTTTTAGTTGTGTTTTAGTTGTGAGTTTTTGGTTTTGTTTTTGAGCTCAGTTGAGTCTCGTGTTGATTAAGAAATAAGTTTGGTTAACAGATAGTTGGAGCGTCTGTTACACTGGTGCACAAAGAAAGAAAAGAGAAAAGAAAAAAATGACACAAATCAATAAATAAAAACAAGATACTAATTAAATGATATAAGGGACAAAACTAGTTACAATTAAGGCATGGACAACAAAAATGAAAAGAACAAACAGATGAAGGATCAAACTTATCAACAAAATAATCAGCAAAAAAACCTATTTAATTTAATTTTAGAAAGATCATAAGAAATATTTAACAAATTAGAATTAATACATGTAGGTAAGGAATTCTATAGTTTGGGTAAACGATTAAAATAAAAATGCCTAGAGGTATTATCTTTAGTTAGTACATGTAGAAGACAGGTCGACCTATATTGATTAGCAGAGAAAGTGACAAAATTCCTAATATCAAAGGCTGATGAGGGGGAGGAAAGAGACTTCAGAAAAAATAATATGTCGTTGACCTCATAAACCAGAGGGATACTACTATAGCCCATGGTTTTTTTCCAAAAAATGGCTCAAAAATCACCACCAATTCTTATTAAATTTTCTGATACATACTGATGTACTTATGCTATGTACAAAGTTTGAGCTGATTCCGACTTAAAATTTTCAAGTAACGGCCATTGTAAAAAAATTTGCCAAATTCTGAAAAAATCCATGTACTATAGCCCATTGTTTTGTCCCGAAAAATGGCTCAAAAATCACCTCCAATTCTTACTAAATTTATTGATACATACTGATGTACTTATGCTATGTACAAGTTTGAGCCGATTTCGACTTACAAGTTACGGCCATTTAAAATAATTATGCCAAATTCTGAAAAAATCCATGTACTATAACCCATTGTTTTGTCCCGAAAAATGCCTCAAAAATCACCTCTAATTCTTACTAAATTTTCTGATACATATTGATGTACTTATGCTATGTACAAAGTTTGAGCTGATTCCGACTTAAATTTTTCAAGGTACAGCCATTAAAAAAAATATGCCAATTTCTGAAAAAATCCCTGTACCTGTACATGTACAAAGATTTTTACATTAATTTTTTTGGCATTTTGCAATCAAAATTTTCAATAGTGAAATGTTTAGTAATACATGCGTGGACAAATTTGCCAATTAAAAGCTGGCCTAATGTATTTATCAAGCAAAACCATCAAAATAAAGTACCGCTAAATCACACGACAGTCACATGATTTCAATTACCTGATTGAGTGACTCCAGAGTGAAGTACATGTACATGGCAGAGCAATAGGTGGAGAGAGGCAGGTATTGCTGGGAGACTCTGTCAACTTTAGCCATTACAGTATCAGTCTCCTCCATCTTCCTCTGAACTTCTGCAGCCTCTTCCTTAAGAGTCTCAAGCTCAGTAATGATTCTAAAAATAGACACAACAAAGATTACATCATGTAATAATTGTTACTATATTTAGATGTATTGTTACTATTATTAGTGATGATTCTAAAATAAATACATTAATGATTACATCATGTAATAGTTGTTACTATATTTAGATGTGTTGTTACTATAATTAGAAGTTACTACATGTATAATTAGAATTGGGGATACCTGTTGTCGTCTAGGATAGGACAGGGTTCAGGATTGGGTCGTAGCTCTCAACGTCCTAGAGGGATTGAGTATGAAATAATGAGTGTTTCCTGACAGGGTTCTTAGTTCTAAAAAAATCCGACAATATTCCCACGCTGTTGGAAAAAATTCAAAAATTCCAAAAATAAAAATAAAATAATTAAAAAATATTTCCATGATCTCGTAAAAATATCCAAAAAAATTCCAAAAATAAAACAAAAATAATCCAAAAATACTATAACACTCATAATTCCAAAAATTCAAAAAATTACAAAAAATAAATAAATAAATATGAAAATATTTTTAGGCTGTCAAAAAAAACCAAAAAAATTCGAAAAATAATATAAAAATAATCTGAAAATATTTCCACACTCATGATTAAAAAATCTGAAAAAATTCCAAAAACTAAATTTAAGAAAGCTAAAAATATTCCCACGCTCTCTGAAAAAATCTGAAAAATTTTCAAAAACAAAAATAAAAATATTCCCAGGCTACCAAAAAAATTCAAAAAAAATTCAAAAAATATAATAAAACTATTCTGAAAATATTTCCATGCTCGGAGAAAAAAGCAGAAAAAATTCCAAAAATTAAATAAAGAAAATCCAAATAAATTCCCACACTCCTGAAAGATTTTTTTTAATTCCAAAAATAAAATAAAATAAAAAAATTTGAAAATACTCCCACACTCACAAAAAAAATACAAAAAATTCCAAAAATATAATAAAAATTCGAAAATATTCACACACTTTCGGAAAAAATCAGAAAAAATTCCAAAAATAAAATAAAATAATTCAAAAATATTGCCACACTCATGAAAAAAATTTAATAAAAAGAATCCAAAAATATTCACACGCTCTCGGAAAAAATAAGAAAAAATTAACTCAAACTTTATCACTACATAAGGACAAGTATTACAAATATCGGAAAATATTACAAAAACTGAGAATTCTCTACTTTTCAATTTTGGCAAAATTTAGCTACAGGGACCTTGACCCAATTTTTGAGCAACGTCAAAAATTCATTAAAAATACAAATTCAATCAGAATCAGCTAAAACTTTATACACAACATCAGGACAAGCATACATGTATGTATCAAAAATATTATAAAATTGAGAATTCTCTTTTTTCAATTTTGGAGAAATTTGGCCAACACCCTGTACTAAATAGTACAGGGACTTTGACCCAATTTTTGAGCAACTTAAAGAATATGTAAAAAATTCAAATTTGATCGGAATCAGCTCAAACTTTCTACACAACATAAGAACTTGTATAAGTATCAGAAAATGTTATAAAAATTGAGAATTCTCTACTTGAAATTTTTGGCCAAATTTGGCCGACGCCCCTGTACTATAGTACAGGGACTTTAACCTGATTTTGGAGCAACTTAAAAAATTCGTATAAAATCCAAATTTGATCGGAATCAGCTCAAACTTTCTACACAACATAAGAACTTTTATATGCATCAGAAAATGTTATAAAAATTGAGAATTCTCTACTTGACATTTTGGCAAAAGACACCCCTGTATAGTACAGGGACTTTGACCTGATTTTGGAGCAACTTTAAAAATTGGTAAAAAAATCCAAATTTGATCAGAATCAGCTCAAACTTTCTACACAACATAAGAACATGTATATGTATCAGAAAATGTTATAAAAATTGAGAATTCTCTACTTGACATTTTGGCAAATGACGCCCCTGTACTATAGTACAGGGACTTTTTGAGCAACTTTAAAAATTTGTAAAAATTCAAATTTGATCGGAATCAGCTCAAACTTTCTACACAACATAAGAACTTGTATAAGTATCAGAAAATGTTATAAAAATTGAGAATTCTCTACTTAAAATTTTTGGCCAAATTTGGCCGACGCCCCTGTACTATAGTACAGGGACTTTAACCTGATTTTGGAGCAACTTAAAAAATTCGTATAAAATCCAAATTTGATCGGAATCAGCTCAAACTTTCTACACGACATAAGAACTTTTATATGCATCAGAAAATGTTATAAAAATTGAGAATTTTCTACTTGACATTTTGGCAAAAGACGGCCCTGTATAGTACAGGGACTTTGACCTGATTTTGGAGCAACTTTAAAAATTTGTAAAAAATCCAAATTTGATCAGAATCAGCTCAAACTTTCTACACAACATAAGAACATGTATATGTATCAGAAAATGTTATAAAAATTGAGAATTCTCTACTTGACATTTTGGCAAAAGACGCCCCTGTACTATAGTACAGGGACTTTTTGAGCAACTTTAAAAATTTGTAAAAAATTCAAATTTGATCGGAATCAGCTCAAACTTTCTATATAACATAAGTACATGTATATGTATCACAAAATATTATAAAAACTAAGATTTCTCTCCTTTTCAATTTTGGCAAAATTTGACCAAGGGACTTTGACCCAATTTTGAAGCAACTTCAAAAATTCATAAAAAATCCAATTTTGATTGGAATCCACTCAAACTTGCTGCACAACATAAGTACAATGTACCTGTATATGTATCAGAAAATATTATAAAAACTAAGATTTCTCTCCTTTTCAATTTTGGCAAAATTTGGCCAACACCCCTGTACTATATAGTACAGGGACTTTTACCCGATTTTTAAACAACTTTAAAAGTTCATAAAAATCTAAGTTTGATTGGAATCAGCT